ACTCTCTAATATAAAAGCCTTAGAGTTTTGAAAGTTGGGTATTTTATTTCGGTCTTTAGGTGTCTTGCACCATAGATAAAGAATAACGCTCAGAGGACCGATTTTATTGGAGGAAGAGGGTAGATCTATTTCTAGTGCTTATATTTTAGCAGGTGAGATCCACAGGGGGTATGTGGGTCTAACTAGTGGAGACGTAGGAAATGCCCAAGGAATTGACAGATCTTGGGGGCTTGGCGCCGTCTCATTTGCTCTGAAAGACGCACCAACAATGGAATTTTATTCTCTGCTCATTACAGTTACGATTGGGCACAAAATGTTCCCGTTCCACATTCTGATCAACAGGTACTGTAAGTAAGATATATTATCTCAGTCCGCGTACAGTGCATTATTTAGTATTCAAGATGGAGCAGTACGCGAACAAATTAATTACGTTCTCGATGAAGACAAAATCATCGGCAAAGGTCCTAATGGTACACTGAGCATGGTATTCGATGGAATAAAGAAATTGAATAAAGGCGAAAAATATTTAAAAATTACTTGCGATAATGCGGGAGAACAGAATAAAAATAATGTTACATTTGATTTAACAATTTGTGGTTATTATTATTATAAAGGTATTGAATTAAATTTTATGATACCTGGACATACTAAATTTCAGTGTGATGGTAGGTTTGGATTGATTAAAAAACTATACCGCAAAACAACGGTAGATTGGGTGGATCATATTGTTGTATGTTGAGGTTGTGAAAAAATCGAGTACAGCTGGATTAAATAAAGCTCAGTGTTATGGTAACGAAAAAGGTTTTCAGTACTAGTACTTGGATTTTAATTCCGTGTTGAGGATTCTCTTTAAGAAATTGAATGGGTTGCAAAAATATCAACATTTTGTTTTTGAAGCAACTAACCCTGGAATTGCCAAAGCTCAAATGGCTGCTAATGGTGCTTTTACTGAATTTAATTTATTGAAAACCAGAAAAGCAAGTGTTTCCGAAATTATCAAAGAAATTAAATCTTCTTCCATCCTAGTACAACCCCTCCTCCTTTGGATTACAAAAGGCAGGAATATCTTTACCAAAACATTTGTGCATTTGTCAGAAAGGAATTTAAAGACATTACTTGTCCAAAGCCAGTCTTTCTATTTTCTAAAAATCAAACCAGTGGCCATAAGCAAAGTTAAAAAATTAGAACCATTGCTATTAATTGGTTTTAAGTATTTTTAAGATTTGAATACTTAAGTAAAGATTTGGTTACTAGATATCGTTCTCATTTTGCTTGGTGTTTCTTAATTTCTTTAGCAAGAATCTCTTCAAATTTCTTTTTCTTTTTTTGCTTTTTCTCTTAACTCTTGAACACCAGACATTTCAGTATTTAAAGCTTCTTGATTGTTAGTTAAATATTTTTATTTTTCTTGCTCACAATCTTTAATGTATTCTTGAAATCGAGAAATATCCTCTAAATAGCGATTTTTATTTTTATAGTATTAGTATTCAACTAATCTTTTGTAGTTATCTCGGAAAGTTTGTCATAATCAGAGACAACAAAATTCTTAATCATTAAATTTAATTCAGCAGGTAAATTATTTTGTCTATAAAACAGTTTGCGGGCTAAATATTCACTAATTCAAACAAGTTTAAAATAGTCTAAATGTTTTTTTTTTGCTTGCTTCTTGAATTTTTTTATAAGCTTTATGGAAACTTTGCTTATTAAGGTCTAATAATTTTTGCTGAGAATTTATCATGTCTTCTCACAATTTTTTTCTACTTTCATGATAATCATTAAAATTTTGATAGTTTGTGTTATTAAATTTTGGTTTCAGATTTTCTAATCTTTCTAATTCCTTGCAAATGTTAATGATACTATCTAGCTGCCGAAAGCCCCCAAGAATGGGTGAAAAAGAACATTTTTCCTTATCAGGAAGAATTTCAAGCCCCTCTTTCAGTTTAGGAAAATCGTTTAGGAGGACAATTTGCGGAAGACAACCACGTTTTCTTCAAGAGCAAACTTTTCAATTAAATTTTGATTTTATCAGGCAATCCATTTTGTCAGTATCAGTGAAAACGAGCTAACATTTTTGAGGAATTTAGTTTTCCTTTTTTTTTAATTTTTTATTTAATTCATTAATTACTTCTTGGCTTTTTTGTTGGCTGTTTTTTAAAAACAACTGTTTATCATTTATGTTGCTCATAATAATTATTTTAATTAAATTTACATTACTTAATTTTCTAGTCTCTTTTTTGCTTAATTCTTGATTAGAACTTTCTAGCAAACTTTTGAGGACTTTTTCCTCTTGGTAAATTTCATAAGTAATTTTTCTTTATCTAGATATTCCTGGAGTGTTTGGGTGTCATTCATTTTAAAAATATACGGAGCAATTTTTTCCTCCTTGAGCTTTCTTTAGAATGCTTCTAATTGCAGTCACTGGACATTTCGTTAATATGGGGCATACTGCAACAAAACCAGACAAAGTGAACATTTCATAAATGAGAGGCAGATTATGATGTGGGCTATTGATCGGCCTTGTCTTTGGTCCTTTGCTTTACTATAAAACGTATATTCAACTCGATAATATAAATCAAAAGCTCGAAATAATCATTCAAGCAGTCGAATCAAAGAAAATCAAAGTAAAATTCAAATCCAGTAAACCGCTCAGTGAGCCGCATTATTCGTTTGATATTGAAAGTTTGTGGAAAGATTTTAAAACTCTATTCGATAAGAAAGCTGAGTTAGACTCGGACTTTTCGTTTAACCAAGTGGCCACTCAAATACGCGAGTTACGCGAGGGAAAAGGCGTTGCCGCCTCAACTTTGAAAAACTTCTACCTGCGAAAAACAAACCCTCGAAAAACAACCGTCGAAGCAATTCAAAGATGGATAGATAAAGAAAGGAGGAGTAAAGAAGAAGGCATTAATAGTAATAATAATATGTAGCATAGATTCACTAGTGCGACCAAAGTATAGGGGTGCTCATTAATGGCTTTGGGCCCGAGTATTTCCTCCCATGCAATCGCTCTAGTGAATCTTCAAATATATCTCTTGTTTTAAAGGGATAATAAAGTCAAGATGACAAAATTATTGTAAATATCTGATTACGTTAGTGGCTCTTTGCAATGCATATTTAAATTCTTAAATAAAAAACGAAACTCGCAAATTGTGCCAACTTAATGAAAACAAGGTCCCCATTCATATCATTGTGCTGTCATGTAGACTACAAATCACAAAATAACGCCTGTTTATGGAGAACTAAAAACTGCCTTTTTAATTTCTCTTTTTTTTGTTATTGGATTTTGCTCAAGTTTTACTTTATTGCGTTTAGTGGTTTATTCGAAAGGTAAGTCTATTTGTCATCTTAATTTAAATTACAACAAACACAAATTCCTGCGCATTAATTATCATTGGCCACATTCTGCATACAGGGGGACAATAGTTACATCTAGAAAGTTCCTAGTAATACGCCATTGATTAAGCCACTGATCAGCGTATATTAGATCACATCGGCGCAGCATATTAATATCAAACAAACATGGACACCGCTGAGTGGAAACAAGAATTGAAGAAGGCTAACGCGAAGTTGGATAGGTTAGATGCGCTGAGGGGTGGTGCAGCAGAAAAGTACGAAGGGGAGGCGGACGAGCTGGCGCAGGAGAAGAGTTATTGGTTAGGGCAAAAAAAGACATGTTTGGATGCCTTGCGCGGTAACGACTTTGTGACTCGGCGTTGGGACATAGAGTAGTGCATACGCAGGGTAGAGTAGACGGAGTAGTATGAGCTGTAATATAGTTGTATTGGGAAAACGTTACAGCATATAGTTTTCGTTCATGATTCTGTGCTGTGTTCCTAAAACACGCACATGGTTTCTATGACATTGTTTACCATCTATCTTACCCATGATGTTCGAATGCTGTTGTTGGGAAACACTTATTGTTTACATCTCGTAACCGTTATTTAACATTTATTTAATAACTAGTTTTCTATCTACCAGCTTACCAGCTCCAGCAGGAGCTTGCACTAACCGAGCAACACCCTAGCGAAAGCAGACGCAAACGATGGAGAGAACTCAATGAAATCCTCGCTAACAAGAGAGCAAAGAAATCTGCTGATAAAGAGTCATCAGTATACCCGAGCATCGCCTGGGCTGACGTGAAGGAGGTCTTCCAACCCTTTACCAAGTATTGTCAAGAAACCTTGCCACTCCCTGATGATTTAATTAACTTGTTGTATAAATACACCTCTCTCGCTGTTAACTGTCTTGGTGTCATCTCGACGGGAAAAGAAGCGAAGCGACTGCACTTTATCGCACCTGTTCTCATACTCGTATGCTGCAAGCTGGACAATGTGGAAATCCTTGTTGAAGAAGATATGGATGGCAAGAACGTTCAGGTCAATGGCAGGTTCGAGTTTATCATCCAGCGTGGCGGCAAACGCGTTTGCATTGTCGAAGCAAAGAAGGATGACATCGAGCAGGGTATGGCACAGGATTTGCTGGGCTGCGAAGCGGTTGCGGATATAGAGCGCTTGAATTGTGTATACGGCATTGTTACAAACTACAAAGAATGGATATTCTTGCGAAGTCTCAACAATCGAATTGAGCTTGAAGAGGCGACTATAACGTTTGATGACAATATGCCAACACGAAAGTCTTTGGCTAGGATTGCTGGCAAGATTAATGCAATGCTCTCTGGAGAGCTGGACGAGGAATAAAAGACGAAACAACCCTTCATCAAATTAAAGAGCTTCTCAGTGAGAAAGACTATTATGAACCGTATTTTTAACGCATAGTTCCGTCATTATTATTATAATGTTATCGCGTAGTTTAGCACCTGCTAAATTTTAGTCGCTTTCCGACTTATCTTGTGTCTTGAGTTCGTGTTATGTTGCCTATAATTATTACATTCCGCGCGTTCGCGCATTCATTGTTGTCTGCCAAGTAGTACTGTTGGCTTTGTCATAAATGCTAGTTGTATAAGTGGTGCGGCCGTTCCCCTTTCCCTTCTCGATTGTTTGACTCCTGAGTATATTATTAGTGAGTAAAGTGTACAGTCCCCCCGAAAAGTAATGGCGGGGTGTTTTTTTATTATAAAAAACGGTTTTACATAATAATTGGTTTCCA